TGTATTATATTAATATTATTGTTAATACTATTACCTATCACGCATACACACACACGCATACCTACTTGTCAAAGGAAGACTCGGAAATGTATTTCATGGATTTCGATCGGCTTTTGCGTGGTTATTCTTGGGCACCAAAAAATAATCCCTATAAAGCCGTAAATTATACCTTTATATGTTTTCCGAAAAAATTGTGATTATAGGTCACGGTGGCGGATCGCTTTCAAATATGGGGGAATCGATAGATGCTAAAAAAACAATCAATTTTTATTTTTCTATTTTTATGAATACATTTCAAGTTCGGAAACAGTTAGTTTTTAAAAAAATTAACATTTTTTGATTTTAATAAAAGCTTGAAATACTTCGCGAACGGTTGCCACTATTGGATAAACTTCCAAAAACGTCCAATGCTTGATTGTCATAAGTTTTGGCAGAAATACTCTGAATGGTGTCAAATAAATGCCCTTAAATGAATTTTTCATCGATCAAGAAGTTTAATGTGAAATATGTTTGAATAAAGTTATACAGAGTGGTCCACTTAAATCGACCATCTGAAATATCTCGCTTATTTTTGATGATATCAAAAAATGTTTCAAGTGAAAGTGGAATAAGAATTTCGAGGGGGACGTATTTTGGTCACGTTTTTTTAGGTAGAGAGGCGTCAAAAAGATATGAAGATTACCTCCACTTTTTAAAATGAAATTATATGATTTTTTTACACAATGATTCCTCTAATTATTCTGCATATAAAAGTATTAAGGTAGTGATATCAAAAAACCAATAGCTGACGAGATATTTTACACTTTATTCTGGCACTTATTGACATAAAATGTTAAATAGCTGTCCCCTTCAAAACCCTTCTACTTTCTTTCTCATATATTTTTTTTTAAAACATTTTTTTATATCATCAAAAATAAGCGAGATATTTCGGATGATCGATTTAAGTGGACCACCCTGTATACTGTTGAAATAGAGTTCCAAAAACAATGTACATCCAATTTCAATGAAACGTTGCAAAATGCTTTATAAAACATTTCTAGACGTAAAGGAGGTGGGATTGGACCTCGTTTTGCATGGAAAGTTGTGCGCCTCTAGGCAGAAGGGGGGAGGAGATAGGATAGACCTCACTTTACGTGGAAAATTGGATGCTTTTAGACAAGTGGGGTAGACTTCATTTCGTATGGAAAGTCGAATCATAAATAAATATGGAACGGACCTTGCTTCGCTGCGACATATAACTTTATTTAAACATTTTTGGCATTCAAATTTGTTATCGATGAAAATCCATTTAAGGATATTTATTTGACATCATTTTAAGTATTTTTGCCAAAATTTATGACAATCGGGCGTTGGACATTCTCGAAAGTTCACTCTTATAATAAAATAAATCATATACCTTCAGTAAAGTAAATCGTATTATTTTCAAGACTGATGAGCACAAACAACTCTCAAGATATTTACACATATGTATTTTTTACTACGCAGTAAAGTAAATTTTATCAGTGCTAAGGAAAAAAAATACTCATTCATAAAATAAATTCTATTGAGATGTATGGTAATTTATAAATTTATTTTATATATATTAAAACGTAAAGAGTATCTTATAATGTGCCGTACAGGCGTATACAATGGTCCTGCCAATTTCATAAAATTTAGTAGAATTTTAGCATATATTACTTTACATTGTTTTTCGTATAAAAAGAAATTTACTAGAATTCTAGTATATGTATATATTACTTTACATTTTTTTCCGTGTGGAACCTTATTATCGAAAAATTTTATATTCAAGTGGTTATGCAGTTATCTTACAGTAAAGTAAATCACACTCTATTTTCGAGACGTAATACGAACAAATCTCAACATTTTACACACTTATATCTTTACCGTGTATAATAAAATAAATTTTGTCAGCGCTAAAACAAAAGATATTCGTTAATAAAGTAAATTACTGAAGATTCGCGTGAGACGTAACGGGTTGAATAACAATCAAATGCCAAATTGTCTAGAAGCGTGCGATTGTAGTTCAACGTTAGCGTGTTAAGTTACTATCCTAAAGACCTTAAGTTCGAATTCCGTCGATACATGGAAAAAAATGTAAAGTAATATACGCTACAATTCTAATAAATTGTATGGATATTGTAATAAATTGGCATATGTAGGAACAGGTGCTCACTTATGTAAAGTTTACTTTACTTTTCTACTAACTGATGAGCAATTATCGTACAGTCATACTGTAAAGTATTTTTTACATTTCGTAAAGTATAGATGTACTAGAATTCTAGCATATAATTACTTTATATTGTTTTCCGTGTCAAAAGAAATTTGCTAGAATTCTAGCGTATATTACTTTACATTGTTCTCTGTGTAAAATGAAATTTATTAGAGAATTCTTCTAAAGCATAGATTTATATATATATATATATATATACGAAATATAAAAGGTACTTTACAAAATCTAAAAAGTACTTTACGGTATTATGACTATAATCGAAGATCTCATTTAGCAGAAATAAAAAGAAAATTTTACATGAATGAGCGCCTGTCCCTTTAATGGACCTGCCAATTCTATACAATTCACTAGAATTCGAGTATATATATTATCTTATATTTTTCTTCGTGTTTGCTTGGATTATAAGCAAAAAGCACAGACTCTTGCATAACGCGTAACACAATATATGAAAACATGAACCAATCAAAGTCATTCATTTCCTTCCTTATCATGAAATAAAGAACTATGATTGGTTATTTTCTTATGCGTTATACGTTATATGCGTTGTGCAAAAATCCTTGCTCCTCGCTATATGTTTACACATTCGCGCTCACTAGAAATGTATTTTTCTAATTTTCCTAATTTTTCTATTTTTTCTTGTTGTAAATTACTCTGATTTTCAAGCTAACATTCTTTTCAACTCTGTGTGTGTGTGTGTGTGTGTGTGAGCTATCTATTTATAAATGAGGAGTATAATTGAGAAGGAGAGAATATCTTTTTTTTTAAATTTGCAATTATAATAAAATCAATTCTATAACATCACTGATACAGCACTGATACATCACCCATACAGCACCGATTATTGCATAAAATTTTCAGAAATGTTTCAACCTTTCACATCTCATGGGCAACAGTTTTGAAAGGCAATATGTCATATAAAATGTTAACAACAGTGTTTCTAAAATCTATCGCATGCACAATAAATTGAAAAACATATTTAAACAGAAAAATATTATGTTACCCTAGCACGTTATTGTTATTTTTGGTTTCCTTCCCAACCTCAGGGTCTGTGAAACCCTACAACTTTGTCACGCTGTATCTCCGGACTGAACACGTATTTTTTAGCTTAAAACACGTAAAATTAATACCTCGAAGTCAGATAAAGACAGATAAATATGAATCAAATAAATAATTTTTTTTTTCAATTAATTACAATGTTTCAAAAAAATTTTATTGGAAAAATTCGCAAAAAATGACTACTTTGGATAAAAAATTATCAAATTTTTTAATTTAATGTTCAAGCAAAAACCCGTAGGTTTTTTTAGTTGACCCTTTGGACTAACAAAAAAAAAAATAATACGATATAAATCGCTCAAAAAAGTATAATTATTTGAACTATCAAAAATCGATATTCTTGAAAAATCTACATATTATAAGTTTACAATTAATAAATAAAATTTTATTATTTGAACAATATAAAATAGTAGATAAAGGATTGTACATGTATAAATATTATTATAGTGTACATAATTTAGTTTATTAGGAATTAGTTTAGAAGATGATGCAACACTCGCTCTCTAAAGCAATACATTAGTCCTGGCCGAGCAATCTCCGAAGACTGACAGAGATTATAAAATTTCTACTATTTATTATGTTGAAATAATTCTTTTTAATTCTATATTTTCGTGCACTTACTTTTATACTATCCAAAACTCAGTAAACATATATTTAATAAAAAATAAAAGGGCACCCAGACCGCCGAAAACTTACAAGCTAATCACGTGGTTCCAAGTACCCTCTTTAAACTTTCGTGCATTCTCACATCAAGAATAACACAAAAAAAAAATACCCTTGCAGGATCATATCTATGGACAGTTTCTTAGGAGTCTTAATAGGTTATCGAGTATCGCTTAAGTGGTTAACGAAACCTCTGGAGTCCATTGTTAACGTAACGACAATTTTCGGAACTTAAGAGTAAAGCCGGCGGCACACGATGCTTGTTTTCTTACTGGATTGCTAGCTGGATTAGATTCTTGCCACCGTATTGGCTGCGATGCTGGCACTGT